AAAATCTGTTTTTTAAAAAATAAAGATTAGTTGCAATGTTATAGTTACGGCCACTTGCTGGAAGCTCAACTAAAATTAAACCCAGTCTTCTGTACTCAGCAGTCTAACATTTTGGGATATACATAGCATGGCCTCTACTGAAGACTTCATGTTATGGACAGGCTGATACAGTAAGATATTCTCCTTCAAATTTGAAGACAATGCTGTGCCTAGTGAAGTGATGAAAGAGACATGGCTGGCTCCATCAGTCACATGGCTTTTCTGTTGGCCTTTTCGACTTAGGACCTCATCATATAGAGGTCACTGAGCTGGGAAATAGTGTGTGTGGGGGGGGTTATTTGCTATGGATCATGGCAAATATGGCAGGGGGCATGGGGAACCCATCACCACACACCCCACCCCACATCACCTCTTACCTCATCCTGAAGCATCACCGCCTGCCTTACCCCCCCCATTGTTCTCTATGGAATGTGGGAAGCCTCTTGCATTCCTGACTCTGCCTCTTACAACAGTTTGACCTCACTTCAGGCATGGAGCCCCACCAGAAGTAGATCTATGTTGTTTGATAGGATTTTGTGGGTTCTGTGCCTGAAGTGAGGTTGAACAGTCGTGGGATGGACAATTTGCCTATCTGATGTGGTTGTTCATTTCTGGTTACAAGTGCTGGCTAAGATATATAAAGTTCTCTACAGTTCAGGTCCAAGTGATATGTATACTGTTCTGCATGTGCCTGCTTGTGTGTTTGAGAGGACCTTCTTTGGGCCTATAACCTTCTCAGAAGCCTCTAATGAAAACATGGGGGAAGGCATCCTTGGCGGCTGATTCAAAGCTGCTCTTTCTAGGAACTCCCTCTCTAGGAAGGTTAGATCATCTCATGTGTTCTTTCAATGGCAAGCAAAGACTTTTAGGTTTTAATAGGCTTTGCAAATTGACTGCTTATGGGGAAACGGCTTTTAATAATGTCCTGTGTTGTCTCTATTTGTTGCATTTTACAGGATATGTTTTTAAATGGCTTTTAATTGTATTTAATTGTATTTTTACTTTATGTTTTAGTGTTATGAACTTTTAGCTGTATCTGGTTTATGTTTTGTAAGGGATCTTGAGTTCAGAGTTAGGAAAAGAGTTAGGAAAAGTCTAGGAAACAAGCAAACAAATAAGCAAGTTTGCAGCTGGCTAGATCCATCTGCAGGGAATGAGTGAGATTATTCCTCTCTTGCCTATCATAACCTATGGAGAGACTTCAGAAAAAGGCTCAGTTAATTATTTGCCAGTCCACAAACTTTCATGTTGCTGGATGTATCATTATTTGTAATGCTATCGTAGATCGTCGCTATTTTCTTTGTTTGGTTTTGGTTAAAGTTACAGCAAGACCATGTCTTCTTTAGAGCAAACTTTGCATTTTTGCCCAATTCTTTCTTATTGTCTTCTTCCCATCAGCCAATGACTTTAAGTTGGGCTTAATTAAGGGAATCGATTTTCAACTGTGCCCACACATTAGAGCAGTAGTTTTCAACCTGCAGGTCCCCAGATGTTTTGGCCTTCAACTCCCAGAAATCCTAACAGCTGGTAAACTGGTTGGGATTTTTGGGAGTTGTAGGCCAAAAACCTGGAGACCCATAGATTGAGAACTACTACATTAGAGTGAGCAGGAGCTTTGAGGCATTGGTTACAATCCCATGGTACTCACATCTTCCTTGTTTATATAGTTGGTTATATGGGCTGTTCTTACTGGCAATAGTTAGCTGGTAGGTCATGTTGACCTTGTACCTGACTTCTTTGCACCAAAACTGGGAGGCTCGTTTTGTAAAATGATTATTAGTTTTGATCCAACTCTCTGTCTGTTTGCTGCAGATAGAACCCTGGTTTTTGTGATATTTGGTTCAACAAACCTCTAGTCTATAAAAAAAGAAAATGTCACAAATGAATAAAACATAATGCTAATTAAAACCATGTTATGGTTCTGTGTGTAGATGCAGGAGACATGCATTGAATTACAGAATTTGCAGTAAGTTACAATACTAGAGTTTTTGAATACCATTTTAACAGAAAAGGATTAAAATTGGTTTACAACTTCAAACAGCCCTTGTTTGATTTGCTGATGCTTTCTTTGATTTTAAGGTGTATATTTTAGCTGGTTTTAATTTTACTTTTTTTTTTGAGAACTTAATCACTTTTAACTTTGTATGTGTTTTTAAAAAAAATATATTTGTTTTTACTGTTGGTAACTGCCTTGAGTCTTGAACTGGAAAAAGTGGGATATAAGTAAATGTAGTAGTAATAATAGTAATAAAACATTTCAAAACATTGCCCGCATGGATGAAGATTATATTTCATATATAGCTACATACTCATAACATAGAGGTTGATTTAGACATAAACTGAAGTATTTTAGTAATGTGTTTTAAAAGTATGTAAATCAAAGGTCTTTACAGCATTTCCATAAGCTTCTCAAACCGAAGAAGACAAGATGACAGTACAGAGGAGTTTTCAAGTTGTGGAC